TGTGTGTGTGTGTGTGTGTGTGTGTGTGTGTGTGTGTGTGTGTGTGTAACTGGATGAATAGCAAAATGGTCAGAGGGGGAGGCGCAACACCAGAGAGGGTTGTCGGGTCTCTGTTGGGACTATTGATATTGATCTAACCTCTCCACCCCCCCCAACTCTCCTCCCCATGTTTCTGTCTCGCTTTTATTGTCTTTCTCACTTTCCTCCTCTTGTCTTTACCCCCTGCCTCCCCCCCGTCTCCCACCCACCATCTCCAGCACCAGCAGCAGGTCCTGGCAGCCATAGAGAGGGCCAAGCAGGTCACCCCCCCAGAGATGAACTCCATCATAAGGGTACGTTGTTGCAGCCCTAACCCTGCCTGAAAAAGTGCAAATATTGACCAACCCGATCAATTCTATTGTTTTCTTTTACATCTTGCATTTACTGACTTATTGTTTGTGAGGATAAAAACCTTTGTGTGTCATCGCAGGGTTTATCTCCAAAACCTAAAATGTGCTTCTCGCTTTTTTTATATCGTGTGAAATGAAAAACCCTAAACCTCAAAGGTTTCCTGCCCCAATCTGTTTCCTCCTAAACAGAGCATTATAAAAATAAATAAGCTTTTATTAGCTCCAATTGCTAATGAAAAACGTTAAAATGACCCATAAATCATGATTATATTCGAGCGCTGGTAATGTATGCCTGCACAGTAAAATAAACATTTATAAATGTTCCCACTGTTTTGTTTAAGCAGCTCTGGGAACAATGAATTTTTAAAGGGTTTCTTTAGAGTTATATTGATGAAGTCCAAGAGAAACTTTTAAAGCACAGACTTTCTTTTTTTTTCTGATGCACCAAAAGTTGGAATATAAGAAATTAACTTTTCTAGAAGTGGCTAAGCTCCAAAGAAATGCTGGATTCTTCTGTTAAAGCCTCCATGCCTTAAAATGATTTTGTTTAGGTTAGAGATAACCTCGGGGTATTATTAGGGTTAAAATCTCTTCTACACTTACGTCGTAGGAGTGTGTAGTACTCTTCATCACGAGTAAACTACTTTTTGTGTCTTTTAAAAGTGGTGGTATCCATCCCATCGAGGGGATAAATTTGATTAAGCCACAATCCTGTCCATTGAAACAATTACAGCACAGTTATCTCACGAGCTAAAATACCAAATCGGTACAAACCAGGCCAGCTCGTTAGCCTGCTACGCGCAGATATTCTTTATATCGGCAGCTTTAACTACTTCAGCCTCGTGTTAGCTATCCTAGCTCCTCCATCATTTCACTATTGTCTACCGTTCGCTAGCCCAGCCACTCCGTCACTGTGATAGATGATTCACGGCGGTGCGTTGCTTTTGTCTTTGTGTCTGCAACTTGTGATAAAGAAGGTGGCGCTCTGCGTTGGCGTTTGTCGGTGGATCTTTTGCTTTCAAAGGAGCTTGTAAAGAAAAGCGTCTGGACTTCTTTAAGTTGCTTGAAGACGCTTGAAGTCCAGACGCTTTTCTTTACAAGCTCCTTTGACTACGATGACCTGGATGACTGAGAACCTTCACAGACATCTTTTGCTTTGACTTTAGTCACATCATGTAGAAAGTTAGAGGATCGGCGGGGGCAGTTATGTGTCGATTATAAGAGGTCAGAGGGAACTGCCGTA